ACTCACCGATCACGGTGGGCTCCAGGTCCACAAAGATGGCCCGTGGGACGTGCTTGCCAGCCCCAGTCTCACAGAAGAAGGTGGTGAAGGAGTCGTCCCCTCCGCCGATGGTTTTGTCACTGGGCATCTGCCCGTCGGGCTGGATGCCATGCTCCAGGCAGTAGAGCTCCCAGCAGGTGTTGCCCATCTGGACGCCGGCCTGGCCGACGTGGACGGAGATGCACTCGCGCTGGGGAGGGGGAGGCAGGGTCAGATCCCAGCAGAGACCAGAAATGCAATCACTGCAGGAGGTGCACAGCCCTGCTGCCTGGGTGCCATTTGTCCATTCCAATCTCCTGCTTTCTCCCGTATCTGACGCTCTGCCTCTCATCACTGCACTGACCACCTCAGGAGCCCAAAGAGATGGGGACCCATGTGCTGGAAACCAGGCCACCCATTCCCTGGACTGCTCCCACCCACAGCCCTGGGAAGCATCCAATGACCATCTTGTCCATTGCCCAAACATCCATATGGCTTAAGAGCTGAGGCCTGGCAGCAGCTGGCACAGCCCCTGTTGCAATTCCAACGAAAGGGCTGGAGGCTGAGATGGCAGAGCACCACCAGGACACTGGGAACTGARGAGGTGACAGCACTGAGCATAGGGGCCCTGCAGAAGTGGGGATTTACAACTGTGAATGGTTGCCATGCTCTGAGGCTCAGCTTCCCTAAATTAGCTCTGGAGGAGGAGGAAGCACTAGCTGCACTTTTTAATTTAATGGAAGGGGTGATGTGGGAGGGTTCCTTAGCTCACAGCTTCAAGGGTAGCCTCAGTTTCCTCAGGAGAAGCCAGGTGGAAGTGGGCTCTGTAGCCTCACTCTCTTCAGGTGAGGCACCCCAGAGCCTGCAGTTCTTTCAACAAGAATGAAAGTATTCAGTGCCATAGAYCTGCTGTTGCCAAGGACTTGGATGCGTCATCAGGCACAACTGAGGCAGAGGAGCATCCAAATCAAACCGGATTTCCAGAGCCATGGGTGCCCCACTATGAGTCAGCTGGCAGGAAGCYGGTGCAACCAGCCATTTTGCACTCAGGAGCAGAACAGTGACTGCTGTCCGATGAAGTTGCACAGGATGCAGCAAGTCCTGGCTCTCTGCATCTAAAATGCTTTCAGTGCAGCATTTCAGAGGCAGGAGTGACTGTGAGGGATGGCAAAATAAAAAGCCCTTGATACCCACCATGAGAGGCAGCCTCCCTTCTCCCCACCTTTTCCAAAGCTGACGTGCAAGAAGAGCAAAGCAATACCCCAGTTATCCCTCCCAGCAGGTCCATAAAGGTTGTGTAACACAAGGAGCCAAGGGTAAGATCTGAGGACTTAAGTCCTGAGGAAAGTCCTCCAGGATCCTCTACAGAAGGGCACAGAAAACACTCAGCAYTGCTGCAAGCACCTCAAGGAAGAAGAGATGAGAAAGGACTCCTCCCTGGCAGAGGAACTTCTGAATCAGCGTGGGGGTGCAGWGGGTTATGCTGCTCACTGCACTTCATCCCACTAACGAGCAGCAGCCAGGACTGGCTTTGTGGGACCCAGCGCTGACAATAGGCTGGGCAGAGCCCAGCAGCACCAGGGCTGGTTGCCAGCCAGCAGACTCTGCCTTCTTCACGGCAAATCTGGCACAGGAAGGGCTGAGAGCACGGCCCCGCGGGACAGCAGGCAGGGTGCCGGGGGAACCTTGGGAGTGGGATGCTCTCCGGGGCAGCTGGAGAGCTCAGGAGCCAGAGCTCGCCGCAGGATCACGGCGGCAGGGCAGCCTGGAAGCCCACCCACAGTGATGCCCACCCTTGGAGCAGGGCAGGGGGCGAAGGAAAGCACAGCTTACTGCCGGAGCTCAGCTGTGGGTCGGCAGCGTGGAGGGCTGGCAAAAGGGGCGAACTCCCGGCAGCCGGGGATGGTACCGCGGGACACGGGCAGGAACCGACACTGTTAAAAGTCGGACAGGGATGAGCAGTCACGGGTGCGCCCCAGCGCCGGTCTCCGCAGCCAGCGTGGCTCGCTGGTGGCCTCCTTGCCACGGGTACAAGGGGATGCTTAAAGGAGGGAAGSTGCTGAGAGCCGGGGAGGGAGCAGCTCAGGGAAAGGCTGAAGCCAGGAAAGGCAGGGCAAGTACAGCGGGCACTCCCGTAGCCAGCTGCCCGCACCTCTGGGCTCCAGGCAGAGCCTTCCCGGGAAGCCACGGGTACCCCAGCCCGCTCCGGGAAGCACTCGCGGGGCTGGAGGGAGGGAGCAGCCGGGGCAGGCACTCACCATGATGCCGCCGCTGCCGCACGACCTGCCTGTCCCCGGGTGCCGCAGCTCCGCACGCCGGGACGGCCGCGTCGCCACCGCCTTATACCGGGGGCGGCACCGGCGCTCCGGGGCGGGCCGCCCCGCCCGACACGGCCCCACGCGCTTTCATAGAATTGCATTCAGCGYGCATATTTGCATATATTTGCATAAATGGGGCTGTGCTGCCTGGCGGGGTGCACTGGTGAGGTCTTCGGGGAGCAGCATCCCCTGACCGGGGCATGGGAGACCCGGGTGTCCCCTCGAGGGAAGGGCAGTGGTGCATAAGTGTTGTTTCTGCGATGCTTGTGAGTCCTGGCAGAGGAGCTTCTGCTGAGGAGCAGAGATGGCACCTTCCAACTTGGTGTCCTGCTGGTGAAAGGCACCATCCCGGTACTAATCATGAGAGACTTTGGGGGTTGAAACAGGAAAGCCAGCAAAGAACTCGGCCCGGGTCTTCCCTCCTGGTGGGTTTAGGTGCTGATGTGATCCTTGAGAAAGCAGTGAGCCAGGTCTTGGGCAGCCACCCAAGACCTCTGAAAAACACCTGGAGGAATTTCTGGAGGAAACATGGGTAGAGGAATCTCTTCAGTCATGAGCACAAGCTTTCTTGACCTATTTGGAGACAAATGAAAAAAAAAAAACAAAAAACCAAACCAGGAAAACTCAGTCCTGTCTGCTGTGTCAAGCCCCTCAAGAACAGTTGTGCCCCAGGGCTTTGTCTGAAAGCCCTGCCTGCAGAATGGCTTCTTTTCCATCCCAACTCTGCAATACGTTCATTGGTTTGATCTGATTTCACAAAGCTTTATGAAATGAATAGTGAGAGGGTAAGGAGAWCTCAAAGCACCTCAGAGGGAGTTTATTGGAATCTGAAGAAACTTCACTGATGTCTGGCCTGAATACAATGAATGAGGTGTCCTACCCCCTCCAAAATGCTCACAAGATCCACTGTAGGGCAGAACCAGTCCTGCCTCTGCCTGAATGCTCTGACTTAATGAGTTTTCATTGAAAAGTGCTGTCATCTCTCAGCTTGATCTGAAAGTTGAAAGCTGGACTTAAATTATCCATCCACAGTAGCCTTTCTTTGGTCCTGAGTCACCTGGAAAGTGTCACCTTCACTGACAAGGGTGTGTAAAAATACTGAAAGCAAGAGTACTGCTGCAAAACCTGTGCTGGTGTCTAAGCAACACATTTTGAGACCTGCAGAAATGGCTGAAGCAGAGGATCAGAATGGGTTTAATTAGGCTGATGGTAAAATATTGAAGCTTTTTTCCACAGAGACGTCCCAGGTTGAGTGCTGCTCAACCTGCACAGGATCCTGTGGTGACTGGATAACTCTGGAAATGACTTYCTGTGGTATAAATGTCCTTTCTGTGACCTCAGAGATCACTAGATAACACAGCCCATGCTGATGCAGACAGTCCATGAAAGTGTCAGAGTAATTGGTAGCACTGAGACATCAAAATTTGAGCCCCAGAAGTTAATTGGAGTGAAAAGGAGTGATAGTATCATCTTCCCCGTGAAAACCTTCACCAAGGTGTTCATTGTAATGCACAGTGCATGCCAAGGCATCACTTCTCACTGGGTGCGTCCTAGAACCCGCCTTAATTCCATGATGCCAGTTAATTCTGGGGCATTTATAGCATGAATGCTTTGCAGTGTGGTTGGAAGCACAAGCGTTGAGCCAGGCAGCGAGCAGCATTTCAGGCTGCACAGTTCACCCAAATTCTGAAGATTTGTGTAACGATCTGGTGGCACCTAGGGGTGCAAAATCATGCTATACTTCAAGACATTCCTGGATCTGTTTACACATCATGGTGGTAGAGAGTTGTGGGTGAAATRTCCCTGATTTGTCGTTGCTGGAGATGCATGTTCACAATGAAAATACCCACTCAGATTCTGTTTTGTTGGACAATCAAAGCAGGTATGATTGACAAGAGAGCCATGAGTCACTTGGAGCTGTGCATCCCCACGTGCCTCTGATCTGAAATACCCAAACAGATGTCTAAGCTTTTTTGAAATGCTTAAGAACATCTGGCTAAATCCAGGGAGCACCAATCAGCTGCATCTTGTCAGTGCCTAACTGCTCAGCAGCCTGCCAGATGCTGGTAAGCAGCAGCCTGAAAGCACACAGCAGAGGCTGAGCTCACTCTGGCTGGATTTGTCCTGAGGCGACCCCTCTTTTACAGAGCTGTTACCCACACATCTAAAAAAGCCCTGCAAATGTTTTCAGAACACATCAGAAATCACAAGGTTGCAARAATTGCTCAGGAAACATTTTCGTCATTGCTCAAAACATAGTTGGACCCTACATCAGCAACCAAAGAGACGTAAAAAGCAAGCCAGGAAAATACTAGGCTGTAGAGTCAGAATTCAACCATTCATTTATTGAAGGATGGGAAAACAGTTGAAAATACCTGAGGGGCAGAGCCCTGCCCACTACAGGGGAAGCCCCTACTTGTTGTTCTTGGGAGCCAGTCAGCTCTTGGCAGGTACCTGTTGGTACAGGAACACCTGCGAGCAAAGCTTGCAGTTACCCAAACAAAGCCTCTCACAYAGCTGTCTTCCAGAGGTATGTTAAAGACTGCCACACCTAAAGCACCCAGAGCTGAAACTGGGGAGGAGATGAGTTCAGAGCCCAGCCTGGTACCTCCCATCCGCACCCCCGTTCCCTGCTCTCTTTGCTGAAGAAAGTCCAAATTATTGTCCCACTTTTCAGACCTCAGTTCCATCCCAGCTGTTCCAGGAAGAACAAAGAGTGTCACAGGGCAGTTTGGGGACATGGCTTTCTTGGGAAGGTAGAAGAGAGCACAGTGGTGCTGTGGGTTTGGCAAGGAAGCCCATKGTGCCCTCCACTTTAAAGCAAACACCAGATGGTGAGAGGTGCTTCAGGAACAGCACTCCTGCCTGTGTCTTCAACCTCAGCCAAGAGCTTCCCAAAGAGGTTTCATCTGTGCTTGCCCTGCTTACCCCTCACTCTGTCCTTGCTCTGTCCTTAATCCTCTTAGCACTGTGGTCAGGTGGGAAGGTGGAGAATCCAGGATGTACCTCCAGCTCGCCAGTGCCCTGTACAGTTTGGTCTCCAGAAAGGGCACAGGCCGGATGAGGCTGGCTGGTGAAAATAATAAGTCTGTTGAAAGCATGGGGCACGACTGCTTGTTCCAGATGTTGTGAATTCAAGCAAGGCCCTTTTGATGCTAACTGCTCCAGCAGTTCCACTGAGCCATTGTGTAAGGTTCCTAAAACCCTAATGCTGGCTGCTGGTGATGGCCCAGCATCATACATCTGAGTGCTGCTGCGGTTCTACTATGACAGCATTTGGGACACACTTTGCCAACCTGAAAGTTCTAGCACAGCATGGAGATGCACAGAAAATGCTCTCTTTGCCATTCCTTAAGATATGCATGCCTTGTCTAGGTCAGAAAGCACCCCCTGAGTACCTCATCCTTTGTCTAGAGCAGGTAGAGATGATCCAAAGATGAGAAAGGATGACTRGAAGGTTAGATGTCACAGGCTGCAAGAAAAGAATGCAGAGGACCAGAAGACCAAGCAGAGACTCAATAAAGGCCTCACTGAACATCTTCAGTAACCCAAGCATGGCATTTCCTCCTAGAGACCTGCTGGGATCCTGGGCACAGCAGTGATCTGAGAGAAGTTTTYTCTGCTGCAGCTGAGCAACAGCAGCATAATTGCTGGTTCAGATGTAATGAAGTCAATTGTGCAACGCCTGCTGCATCGCCCAGAGCGTGTGCCTCGGTACAGGAACAATAAAGCTAATTCCAGATCTTGCTACAGTCCTAAGCCCTGAATCACAGGGCAGTGGCAAGAGCAGGGAGGCACTCCCCAGGACCCAGGCAGCCCCACAAGCCAAACCCCAACCTGTGAGGCTAAAAGGGGTTGTTGGACGAGTTGGGACGAGCTCTTTCTCAGTCACAGCAGGCCCTGGGTGAGCAGCCTTTCTGGCTCAGAGCCAACTGCCCTGGCTGCCAGTGTCACCGGCCTTTCTTCATGTCCTGGGAAAGGGAGCTACACACCCACAGGAGCAAAATAAAACCTCAACTGTCTAATTGCAGTGACTTCATGTCAGAGYTCTGAGCATGCCTGGTATGAACAATCTGCCTCGAGGCAGGTGACAAGGGGGCTGAGCCAGCTGAGGTGTCTCCATGTTCTCAGGGAATACTGRTGTGCAGTGCTGACAGGCTTGTGTGGAGGTGCCAATGATGCTTTTCCTCTTCTCCATCAGCTCTCACAGCTGGTGATGGCACAAGCAATGCAGGAATATCTGGAAATAGAAGAGAAATGAATTCGGCAAGGTTGTGTGATGGTAGGAACTCCTGGAGGGACATGGGTTACCCCATAAGGCTGAAGGGCTCTCCATGCCCTAGACAGGAGTGTAGGCATGGTGATGTCTGCATGCCCAGTGCTTTAGGCCTTCCTGTCTTACAAGTTCTCAGAATTGCGACAAAGCTGTGGTCAGCTCTGTTGCAATGCTGAAGATGTGTCTGTGAGCTGGCAGTGATGGGGCAAGAAGCAGCCATCACTTCCCCTGCTCCCAGGAGCTCAGGCTTTGCCTGCAAGACTGCAACCAACCCCCTGGGCAGCAGAGGGGACAGGRCAGATTCACATGGGACAGCTCTGCAGGTGCACCCACTCCTTCAAGGTGGATAACCACGGCCAGGTGGGCCAGTCCTGCACCCACTGGGAAAGGAAACAATTCCTGTTACAGAAGCTTCTTGACAATGGCCCTGCTGTGCCCTGGCCTTTGGAGAGCAGCTGAGCGTCCCATGGCTTGAGAGATGTCTGCAAAGGGTTTTGTTTTACGTGGGGAAATGGGTTGTAAATAATGCAAACAGCTTGTTGGCCCCAGGGCAAGCCAAGAGCAGAGCTGGGCCTGGAGAAACTAGCCTGGAGTCTCAGGGATTGCAGTAGAGTTGTTAAAAGTGGAAAGGAGGTGATGGCAGCTGGCCAAGCACTGCTGGATGTCAGAGGCAAACAGTTAATGTGATAAAAGATGCATTTAATAACTCAGCTGGGTAATGGCTCCCAGAGCACTCCTGCCCGGAGCTG